TATGAGTATGTCTCCCTCCAGTACGTTACATAAATATTATTAATTTCTTTAGGAGAAAAATGCTTTTACATCGTAACAGTAAAAGTTATCGTCGTATAATAAAATAGTAAATATAATAAATATATTGACTTAATATAATAATATTATTCCTTCTGTTTTAAGGAGATTAAATATTAGAAAAATTAACATAAAATTGATCACTTTACAGATTATATATTTATATGGATAAATAAGTCAATATATAGACGGAGTGTTCACCTCTATAATTATATTTTGTTCAAGCAAATAAAATAAAATAAAAATAATCTTTTGAAGAGATGATTGAGCGGTTGATAGATGTTCCAACTTTACAAATTGAAATAATTTTGTGTTTTTTTTTTGAAAAATAGGTTTGATGGCAATTTCGAATAAAGTGATTTGACGAAAAATTTCACAAGTAATGGATTTTAAATAGTCACACACGTATTTTTGACATGTTTAAAAATATATATGTTTTTATATAGTCACATAAATATTAACAAATTATAATAAAATAATAAATATGATTTTTGAGTTCGATTTTATATATACTAATCACTAGAAAGTAAAATGAGTATGTAAACGTAATGGCCATCTCAAAATCTCTTTGACTGTTCAATTAGGCGGGGTGGTTTGATATTTTTATAAAAGTATTTTCTCGTAATTTATATATGTATTAGAATTATGCACAGATATTCAAATTATATACCAAACGTAATATTTCTTTTATATATAAATAACGTACCTCCTAAACAACTATTGAATATGATATTTTCTATACAAAATTTAATATATAATTAACGTATCTCCAAATTAGCTAGCAAACGATTTATCAATAACTACTTTTTTTTTCAAAGTGTTGGTGGAAGATGGGTACTCACAAATGTAATGTAAGATAGAAAATAATAACAGGTGTTCCTGACGCTATTCCTGTAATAGGATCACCTTTGATCGAATTATTGCGCGGAAGAGCTAGAAATGAATGTAGTGAAGGACCATTTAACTTAGTGGAATTGTGTAGTGTTATAGTATATCTATGGTCCCAAATGTCCAACATGTGATTTGTATTATTTTTACTTTGAGGTTGTAAATGTTTATTCAATCACAATCAAACTTAGGATATCATGATGCCCAGAACCCTGGAACTGTCCTTAATTTTAAGATTACATAACATGGACTTCTTCCATTCAATTCCATTTTGAAATGATGTTGTATCATCTAATTTGTTTTCTTTGTCCTCCTCAACCACCACCTAGTATATACCCAGTAGCTAACAAAGGTAAAAGTTTAAAATAAGTCAGGTGTGGTTAATACGGAGAACGATTGTTTAAATTTTTTTTAAAGATATTTTTTAAATGAATGTATACGAGCTTTTAAAAATGAAGAAAATGACTTCTTTCAGTAAAAGTAGGAAAAACAAGTTCTACAAGTGATATTCTCGCGTTAATTGTGTCACATTCACCCTCTAACACATCTCATCTCCACTCGTCATCCCTACCCGAGGTGGATTTTGAAGTTCAACTCTATGAGTTCGTTTTAAAGATTCTTAGCGTTGAACTCATTATATTTTAAAGTTAATTATAGGTTTATATATAGTATATATTGTACTTGTATTGAATTATGCTCCACGTCGAAAGCTATGAATTAAATTAAATATGTATCTGTAAAGCTAGATGTATGTCTATGCCTATACCTCTATTTTTTTCTAATATTTGTTTAGATTAAATAGAAATAAAGTGATTTATAATATTCGAAGACATAGGCTATATTATCCAAAACTCAACTGTTGTTTCTTTTTCCCCCAAAATTAATTTTTCTATATATAAATCGAATAAACACATTACTTATCAAAAATATATTATCAGCCTTTAATAAATACATAAATATGGACCATTTTTAGTAGTACTGTCTGTAGTAGGTCTGCCATATTATATTATACACGTGAGATTCCATAGATTGAATCTTTTTATCTCAATTTATTATTCTGCAATTTAAATATATATTGTAAGCCCCTCCAATTACTTTTCCCCTTTCTTTTCAGATTAAATTATAAAAATAGATAATATATATATATATATATATATATATAAAAGAGATAAATAACTTCTCTAGTACAATTAAAAAAATAAATTCCACAATATCCTACTAACTGACCGTATCGTCCAACACATTTTATCTTCATTCCGTCTAGTAAACGCCCATTCGCGACACGCATAGATCTACCTCCAACCATCACTTTTAAGCATTTTTTGTAAGATTATAAATAAATATTTTTTCTTATATATCAAACATAAAAAAAATAATTACATTAATCATAAAAAGTATTTTTCTAGATAAAAGTAAAATGACAAACAAACAAGAGTTATGACAGAGTGGTCTGATAAGTATTTTCTTAGTCATTAATTAGATGTCTTGAATTTGAATCTTCATGAATATGAAGAACGTTTTACGAGTTTATATATTTATAATTACAAAATCATCTTTACTTATAAAGTGTTATACTCCTATACTCCTAATGTAGGACTTTGAATTTGAATTTAGCCGGAAAAAAAAAAGTGAAATGAGAGAAGCAACAAAAAGTAGTAGAAAAGAAAAAGAGCTTTTTAAATAAATACTATAGTTGGGAACGTAATGAAGACGAAAGAAAATGGCTGGTCCCAATAATGTCACAAGGCACAAATAATACTGTACCATGTGAAACTACAGTATAAAATTAAACTTATATATAATAAAGTATATTGTAGTACTATTTATATATAATAAAGTATATTGTAGTACTATTTATCCGTATCTTTTCTTTTTTCCTTAAGAATCTATCTCACTGTAATCCTTTTTTGCCTCTTTTATATATATATATATATATACCTTTTTAAAATTTTTATATTGAAATTAATTTTAAAAAAGTCCTCACAAAATGTCCATGAATATGACCTCACAAAACAAATTTACTTATTTTGTACTAGGAAATAAATTTTTGGACCACTATGGATAGAAAAGACATGTGATTCTCAAATTTATCCTTCTTTTATGGGTAAATATCTAACTTTTAAGGTAAGGGGTGTTTTCGGTACTAAAGAAAATGTTTTACGATAAAATAAACAAATTTCTTATTTATTTTTTTGAGTTTGGAGTGTAAAAATACATTTTATACTTTAATTTGTTTATTTTACGTTTTTAGTTTGTTTTAAAAAGTGTATCTTTTTCTTCTTCTTTTTTGACAAATCACTATTTTAATTTTTCATATGATATATTTAAAATCAGAAGATTTAACAAGTGTCATTAACTTTCTTATTTATTGTGTTAAATTAAAATCAAACGAACAAATTGAAATGAAGAAAGTAAAATACTATTTATAACTTATTTTTTCTATTTTCGTTGCAAAATTATATTCCTAAAAAATTTGACCGAAACAATTCTCAAGAAATCAAAGAAAGAATATTTTGCTTTTGTTGTCAATTAAGACGAAAAAGATATTTTTAGAAATATTTTGTTTTTGTTGTCAATTATTTTCCTTAAGAAAATATTTTCCAACAGAAAGGGGAAAAGAGAGGAAAAAAAGGGTGTAACGTGTAAATCAATTTTTCTTCATAATCATCTCTAACTTATAAGTTCATATCATTTTTTTAACCTACAATTTATTATTATTATTATTATTATTAATTCATTGCACATATCGTATACAACCGTTTGCTACTATATTATTTTATAAATTTGGAATATAATACACAATTGCTATATTTTTTGATGTGACAGATTCAATTAAAAAAGAATCGATTTCAAATTATTAGTGTGAATAACTTTTCTCTAAACTAATTAAACCATTTTGAACGACCGTTTGCTACTTATTCCTAATAAATATTTTCCTTTTCAATTAATTAAATACCGACAAACATCTTTTAGGAGTTTCGGAAAAATAATGAAACGTCCTTAATTAATTCATTTGACTCTACAAGAAAAGGCTTCGACATTAAATTATTTTAAGTGATTATTAAAAAGAAAATCCTTTCAAACTTGCCGTTTTGTCGATGGAAAAAAATAAAATTAAGTAAATACAAAAGAATACGATACATGTTTGTGTAAAGGGTAGGTAGAGAAAGAAATGATTAAAAGGGAAAAGAGAAAAAAAAAATGATTACAAAGGCAAAGAATCTTGTAGAAAAGGGATGAAATATTTGTCGTCCTATAACAATGATTATTATACCTCTTTATTATTATTATTTGGTTCACTTTATTTATCTTTTAAAAATATTTGGATTAGAAAGATAAGTGCTTAAGTGGAGCGAAGCATAATAAACGTTTAAACATGAGTAGTGATAAAGTGATTAGATTCCGTCATTTTTATTCAGAAGGTTTTGAAGCATTGCTTTGAAGAACGAATCATGCAAAATGTGAATTTAGATTTAATCAAATTTTAATACGAACATTAAAATTCAAAAAAGAAAAGTTCGAAAGAAAATATATAGTTTGGTGAGCAGTCTGTTTTAGAGTATTTGGACTAAAGCTTAACTAAACCTTGCCGACAGGAATTTCTGTCTCTCCACTTAAATCTTTAATCACTAATTAAAATAATAATTAATACCCCACCCCCACCCCCACAAATTAAAGCTAGTACTATATACACCTTTTTAGCTAACTCCTCACCCCACTTTTCTAACTTTTTCTTTGAGTTAATTATACGATATTCAAATTTTACTGATTCGATAATTTTGAATTCATCCCAAACAGCTGATGACAAGAGTAAAAACACTTTCTACAGAAAAATTCTTCATTCATAAAGCTTAAACTCGAGTTTTTTGACCTAGATATTTAATCTATCTTGTATAATTTTTGTATAAACAAATATTTAGAGGATAGAAAGATTTTAAAGTAGATTAGCCATTTATTTAATAAACAAGATCGTCAAAATATTGAATTTAATCATATGATATTTGAATTTCACTTGACTTGTATATTTAAAATTCATGTTATACTTCACGACATGATTACTAAAGATTCTAATTTAGTTTTATAAGATAACTGCTCGATTTTAAATAAATTCAATACAATTCAACGTAATCTAAATTTGATCAACATACACTTGTTTTCATCAAGTATCTACTATCTCCCACCAACACAAGTACTGTGTAAATCGGAATGTTTACACCAATTACATAGTGATCACTGTGGATTTTTCTTTTCAAAACATTGAAATTTGAACACTATGCTGCATTCTCCATACTTTGCTTTAAATGGTATAAACATCATTGTATAAGATTTTACCATATAGTTAGTTGCCTGTGGTTAAAAGTACTAAGCATATATAGAAAAAGAAGCCTAGTACAAAAATCAATCAACAGACTCCTTTTAACCCCACCAAAAAATGATAGTGAAAAAAAAAAGGAGAAAAAGGAAATATGCCTTTTTATCTTCTCTCACATAAGTGCTATCATACTAAAGTTTAAGATGAGAAATAAAGAAGATAAGTTCCATATAAACACCATAAAAAGTGTTAACAACGGTTATTATGTGGTCATAGAATCTCTTTTTGGTAGCTTAATCGTAATCTATACATCGTTAGGGACCAGGTTAATTCGAGATTATAATCCCATATTCAATATAGAATAACATAATACCAAACGTTGGTATCAGAAAATAAGAGCCTGGTTTCATGAAAGATGGCATTGAAACATGCCAGCACTTTGATTATTTGAAAAACGAGAGCTTTCCAAGAACTATGAGTCGGGGGTCTATAGGAAACAACCTCTCAACCTCACCTTTGAGGTATAGGTAAGGTCTGCATACACTCTACCCTCCTTAGACCCCACTGTGTGCGACTACACTTGGTATATTGTTGTGGTTGTAGTGCCTTTAAACTATAGATGGAAAGCAAGTAAATGTCACATATCAAGCATGGAGTATATGGTTCTTTCACTGTTCATGAATACAATTGGTAAAAGTGAAGTCAAATGAAAAAATGTGGGAGGTGTCAAGTTAAATCAAATTCATCCAAATTACTTTAGACTATATCCAAATTATGATGAATGCATCATTTGAAAGTAAAAACAACGGTGAAAAACGGATAAAAAAATTTGAACTATTACCAGGTAATGATGTTTTTTCATCAATGAAAGTCATCAGGTAACCAGCAAAATTAGTCAATCTTCGTTGCCATGTCGCTATCAAGCATCTCTCTCTTGTGTTGCTTCATGCCGACAGTATTCTTCAACTTTGGGTCCTCTCACAACTTTTTCACAATGATGGGGGAGCATCATCCAATGACCCTGCATGAACATCACAAAGTTAAGAAAATGTTTTAAGTGAGAAGTTACCTAAAGGTGATTTAACTTAATCAATCAACTTTTTCTTTATACCAAAACAACAACCATTTTTTCGAAAGACTTCCACTTCTTTCATGGTGGGGTTGCCAAGAGTAAGTTGTTCAAAGTGCTCTTACAGCTATAAAGATTGATCAAATGTCCTTGACAAAAAGAGGTTGTTGCTAAAGTTACCAAAACCTTAGTTGCATAGGTTACATTAGACTGAAACAACCTCAGTCCCTTTTATCCGAAAATGTTCAAGGTGAAGTCGTCTCCATCTATGATCAAACGTTTATGCCAACAAACCAATAGTTTCTTACTTGGTCTATTCAGAGCATCTGGACCTTGTCAAATGCTTCTGGATCAAGAAATAAGCATTGCACAAAAGTCATACTTCAGTTGGTAAATAATAATGAGTTGAAATAGTCTTCCTTTTTTCTAATGACGGTGGAGTTCGGGACGGACTTTGAACGCATCTCGACAAGAGATATCTATCACCTCTGTCCACCAAGGCTAGGACAAATGAAAACAAATCTCCTAGTGTTTTTCTTTTTTTTTGTCTCTGCTAGAGTTTGAACCTGAGACCTCAATAGTTCTCAACCCACTTCATTAACCACTAGACCACACCCTTGGGTATTGAGTTGGATTATTACTCGGAATAAAAAAGAAGTATCTAGTATTCAAGAACACAAATAAAAAAAAGAGGGCAGAAGTAAAGAATACTAAAGAGGTCGAAAACAAATACGAAATGATAAGAAGTTCTAACTGGTTAAAATAGCATGTTAACAAGCTAACGACAACAGTAATAGCTCTTCACTACTGTAGAATCTCAACAACTAGGGAAAAACACTTGTTGCTCATACCAGACCTAGCCGGAATGATATTGAGAGCGTGGATTGACACCAGATTGCAGCGGAGAGGTATGGTATAGGCACAGAACCTTCAGCAGAATCTCGTCTGAAATAATCTTCCAAGTACAGAATCTCCATGCAATGTTGCATTTTGTTAACCAGCTGACATCTATCAACGGAGTCTGAAGAACTGACCATTGGATGCAAATTTATCTTGAGAATAAGACCAATCAATGAATCATTTTAAAGGATTAGTTTTGTATAAAACTAACCTCCGGCTCAGCATTAGACAAATTCTACCATTGAAGTAAGTCGTGCAAATTTCTGTCATGACTACTTCGAGGTAACTAATCCGGAAATAACTAAATAATGACTGTAAAGCTTTAAGGCAAAAACTGAACGAACTTTCATCAAATTAATAGGATCTATCAAAGAGTAAAATTTCTGATCTTACAAGAAAGGGAAACAAAAACCTTCCCCTCCACATATATTATGAATTCCAAAACTACCTAAGAACAAAAGCAGTACAATACTTCTGTCATGCAACTTCTCTCAATCAGCTTTGTGTTACCAAGCAAGAAGCTACTGTATTCATACCGCAGATTATAAGACTGAAACTCTGGTCAAGCAAGAATCAATAGTCCTCCGTATCCAAGAGCACTACGAAAATTCTTCTTAAGATTAAAAAGGGAAAGCACGTATCACAGTGCGGAAAGAATTTCATTTCTCCAGGAAAAAATTCCTACAGTTGTAGTCATAAATAAGAAAAAGGAACACTACACAGAGGATGTATCAACAAAAACCTCATTTAGCACATCATCCTCACTGTTTGCCAGGGAAAAGAGCTCAGCGTCTTTATCTTCATCACTAGAACAATCCCTCCTCTGAAGCTTTGAGTGAGCGGCGATAAATATCAATTTCTGAGCCTTGTCCATTCCCACTCTTGAATGAGAATGGGCATTCACCCATTTCAAGACAGACCAGTTGCACTTAAAACCGCATGAACTTGCACGAAGGAAGATTAGCCTAACTGCCACTTTACCGAGTGACTTAAATTCAGTGAGGTGAGTTTCCCACACAAGTCTACTACTTTGTGGATTTGCAATCTTCATCTTTCCGGTGCTGGGATCCCTTTGCTTCAATTGTACAGCCTGAGCATACACAGGATCAAGTCCTTCAGTTCTCCATTTCATAAGCTCCATTAATGCAATGTGAGCTTCATCCCTAGACACAAGCCGGGTAATGAGCTTGTCCACGTCTTTCTCTTGCTCCGGTGTCAAACATTTAAACGGAGGCAAGTACTTGCCACTAGTATCTCTAATAAGATAGAGAGGATCAAGTATAAATGCGGCAGCCCAGGCAGGATGATAATTCTTGTTGAATCTCCTTTCAATTACTTTCTCTACAGGTCCTTCTGCAACGTGAAACTTCGAGCACCAATCCTTCACTTTCACTCTAAGCTCCTCCCAAAGAGGAAGACACTGCCCTACACGCGGCTTCTCTGTTTGGATATCTTGTGCCATTGACTTAATCAGTTTTACCAGTGAATGTACTGCTTCCAGTTCATTCCAAAAATGTGGGCTCCTCATCATCTCTTCGAGATCCCTAGCAATTTGCTCTTCCATACACAATATCTTATAAGATTCATCCAACAATACTAATTGGAGTGCTCGTGCTGAGCTAAGAGTATCCTCCACTAACGTGTACACGGGTCCAAAATCTGATCTTTCATAACCACGCAACGGTACTCTCAGTAAACCAGCATGCCCATACTCCTGCAACTGATATTTGTGAAAACTATTTCGAACTTGAGACTTATTATTAACGAAATTCGCAAGTTTTAAACAATTCTCAGTTACATTCTTGAACAAAGGAAGCTCCTTACCAAAATCCTTAACCAAACTATTAAAGGCTTCATACTGACAAGAAACGTTAACCATCCAACGATGCTGATCCTCTAAGTTCCTCAAAGCCTTGGCCTTAAACTTGTCTGCAACTATACCTACACATTGGTGCAAATTGTTCCCACATATTTCAGAAATGGTCTCCATAAAAATCTCCTCTGCGTATTTCGAATGCACGTATCCACTAGTGAACACTGCTCTTCTGAACACACTGGTCCCATTGGGAAGATTCACAGACAAATTAACCAAATTTTCTTCACCAACATGCCCATAATTCTTTGACTTCCAACCATCGGATGCAATCTGAAAGAACATAGCATCTCTAATTTTCGCCTCAGATTCAACCTTTGCTTCCTCGTACTTACCATCTAGCCTTGAACCAGCAAAATCCCTCCTTGACAATGGTGGCAAACCAACTTGGTTTAAGAAAGCTTTAAACTTTGGATGCTCAAGACTCGAAAACGAGACCGACCCACAACATTCATACACCCAATCAGCAAGATAATCTAGTGCAGAATCAATTTGGGATTTGCTTAATGTTGGACCAGGTGATGCTTTAGGACTTTTTAGCTTCTTCACACTATCTTCCAACATAGCTAAAGCTCCTAAATCCTCTTTACCACCTGACAACATCAAATGCTGCTGCCCATACACAGCACCGCCACCACCACTTCCCGGCGTACTGCCACCAGTACCGGCGGCAGTGACAATTGAAGTAGCCATTGAAACACCAGGAGAATAGGCTAACTCTACTGCAAATCGTGATGGATCAACAATTGCTAAAGGTGGAACTTGATACGACGTCGTCACACTCCCTCCAACCCCACCCCCACCATTACCGCCACAACTTGAACTACCCCCACGTACCCCACCCCCACCACCGGAAGAGCTCCGTTTACGATGATTCTGCTGCTGCTGATGTGATGGAGTTGGCGACACCGGCGACAAGGCCACGGTAGTTGATGGGGATGGTGGCACTGACGAAATGGGTTTTGCAACAGAATTGAAATTGGGACAAGTCCCTCTTTTGAGATGTTCAGAAGCAGTTCTTGAAGGGTTTGAAGCAGAGAAAACAGCGTCACATAAAGAACAACGAAGCTTGACGGCTTTAGGAAGTCCAGTATCAGAATTCTGAACCAAAATCGGCTCAAGGTGAGCCCAATACCAAGCCCCTTTTCCTTTTACAGCTTTAGTCCGTACCATCACCAACCCTTCATATCTCTTATGCACTGCCTTAGCATTAAGTTCATCGGCTGAGCCGCCGCCAACGCCAACGCCAACGCCGCCGGTCGGTTCCACAGTAGCTAAAGCAGTAGTTGTATTTGGTGCAGACGCCATTTGTTAAATACCAAAAAAGCCCCTATAATTATTAATGTATGATGATTTTTCTTTAAGCTGAATCCTTATGAAATCAAAATGCAAAAGCTTTATGTAAATTTGGTGTTTTCAAGGGGCATTTTGTGAATTCATTAGGCATGCATTTTCATCCGGGGAATGTCGCCGGCAAAGGAGGTAAATTGGGTGACGGCCGGTGGTCCATGAGAGACTCCGGTAGAATCGGAAGAGAAAAGTTTTTTTGGATTGTAGTGGTCCTAGCTCATAGTGTTTGGTGTTTGCCACGTTTTTCACCCCTATTAATGGGAAACTTCGAGGAGTTTAAGGATTCAGAGAGACAAGAAGAAAGTTCCGGGCCGGAGTTTCGCCGGAAACGGTGCCGGAGAAGTATAGAGAGAGTGAAAAATAGTGAGAGAAAGAGAGTGAAGAAGATGAGAATAGGCTTTGGTCTTAACAGAGAAGGCGCCTGTTTACTGTTTAACGAATGGAAACTTCTAAGTTTTAACACTTAAATGTTTATTTTTTTAAAAAAATTTATTTTATTAATTATTACTATATAAAAATAATTTAATTGTGATAAATTCAAATAACAAATTATATGAATTCAACATCATGGAATTATCATGAAATTCCTACTCATATTTAGCATAAATATAATGTGACTCATGAAAATAGAATAGATATAATATTACACAAAATTGAATAATTCAAAGTAAAATTTCAGTATTTACATAACTATAATTTCAACTATTAATTTAAAATTAAGGAATTTATTTAATAACATAGTCATATACAACGAACATTTTTCGTCAGAAACTATATTGGACATGTATAAAAGATATTCATAAAAGTTTTACCTTATATACATATATATTTAATAACTTTAACAAAATTTATTATTCGTCCACAAGAATTATTGTCCCCTTAAAAAGGTAATTAAAACTTACTATGTTCCAAATGCAAAAAAGAAAAAAAAAGTTGTTGGATGGGAATTACTCTTTTAAAATTTGGAAAAAGTGTGTAAGAGTTGTAATAAGTTATAATCTAAAATTGAAAATTTTCATATTATATAAGGAAAATTTTCATTAATGTAGAGGATACTAAAAATGAGGAGTCATGAATATCTTTTTTTTCTTTCTGTATAAAGAAATAAACCAAAAAATATGTGCATAATTGAAGAATTATGGCATGTTATTAGCAAATTTTATTAAGTGAAAAGAATCTCATGCCATTAATTGGGAGTTCTTGTGGAATTCTTTTAAAATTCAAGATTTAAATTTATTGAGTTCAGTTTTAAATTTTTAATACTAACTCGTCATAAAATGATGAATTTAGATTAAATATTTGCTAAATTTTAATTTTTTATTTTATCGTAATTAATTAATTATAAATTTATCGAAAGATAAGATTGCATATCCTTAATCAAAAAAGAGTTAAAGCTCAATATATTTCTCCTTATTCCAACATGTTGTGATATATAGAGTAGAGTAAGATCGAATCGAGTTCGTTCATTATAAAATAATGAGATCTGATTAATTTGAATTCGCGTTGATTTTGTGGATTTGGTGAATGCCCCTCCTTCCATTTTTTTTACTATTTAATACATTTATTATATTTAAATATCTCAACTTTAATTTCATCAACATTTAAAACATTACTATTATTTATTTCTGGTCTCTGTCATGGGCCTTTTTTAGTGGGAAAAAGGTCATGTGGGCCAGGAAGAGTCCTTTTGTTGTTTGTTTGTTTGTTTTTCCTCAAATTATC